GAAAGTGGCTTGGTGAGCACTCCTGCCAACTCCCTCAGTACTGTTGGGTGGATCCCATCCGACCCTGCGGAATAATTGCTGGACGTGATTTAGAAATTAAACTTACATTCACATTTTTAGGAAAGGTACAGCACTGAAGAAGCTTACAGGGTGGAGTGCTGCTGCCATGCAAGGAATCCATTCCACGGGAAGTTTCCGAGGCCTGCAACCTTAGATGTCAGCAACACCAGGGGAACTTGGTGTACTGGCTCTAAGAGGAACTGCCCGGAGGGTGGAGTGGTGTGGAGACACCGTGGCCAGGCTCTATGATAATATGGGAACTTGAAGGTACCACAGAACTGATAAGCTGCGTATTTGCTACCCTGGGCCAACAGTCTGTCATGTTTTTGACAAAATGCTGTCCTTTTGGTAAACTTTGTTCTTTATAATATCATTATAATACCAAAACACACCTTCATGCCAAAAGCTACCTGCCTTTAAGGTACGACCACTCCTCACTGAGCTTGCGCTTTGAATTTTTCGAATTTATACCTTTAAAAGTGAAGTGAGAAAATTTTACACCAATCATAACAAAGGTATGTATGACTAGAGTCACTCAAGCTCCACCTGAAAAGTAAAAAATAGTATAAAATAGCCTAAGAGAGAGAGAACGTTAGGGAAGATACCATCGCGTACCACTCTGACTTCTGGGATCAGTTGGTGGGCTGAGCCTCTCTTCCCCCCCATTGGGATGCCTTTGGGTAAGATTCGAACACTTGGTTACACCAAGTGCCTCCCCAGGAAATTTAGAAACCTCTATATAGAGTCGCTTTATATCATTTAAAGCATTTGTAGCCAGGCTGTGTTACTCATACTTTTGGTATTTGCACGTGCTTTGCAGGCAGTGAATTAATCACTGGTAATCCAAAGAACCCGTGTATCTGTTGCTTTAATAAACTACACTATTCATTAATCTAGCTGTGATAGTTCTCACTGAACACCACTAGATGCTTTAAGTGTGGCTGTGGTAGTTCATGGAATGCAACTAGGCGGAAGGTGTCTCGTGTTATTTATGCATCAGTAATTGTGATCAGTACACTGAACGCGACCGGACTTATAACGATGAATTGGGCATCTGCCAAATTACTTTAACCTCTTAACGCAACAGGCCCCATAGACTTGTGTGTGTCTGAGTGGTGTAGCAGTTCACTAACTATTTCCCCTTGGATTATGGGGGCTTCATTCTGCTCCCTGTCCCTGTCTTCCAGCTCAGGGGGCTGGGTACCCGGAGAACAGCTGGTCTTACTATTAAAGACTGAGGCAAAGAAGGCATTAAGCACCTCAGCCTTTTCCTCATCCTTGGTCACTATGTTTCCCCCTGCGTCCAATAAGGGGTGGAGATTCTCCTTAGCCCTCCTTTTGTTGCTAGTCTATTTATAGAAACATTTTTTATTGTCTTTTATGACAGTAGCCAGATTAAGTTCTAGTTGGGCTTTGGCCCTTCTAATTTTCTCCTTGCATAACCTCAGGACATCCTTGTAGTTCTCCTGAGTTGCCTGCCCCTTCTCCCAAAGGTCATAAACTCTCTTTTTCCTGAGTTCCAGCCAAAGCTCTCTGTTCAGCCAGGATGGTCTTCTTCCCCACCAGCTCATCTTTTGGCACATGGGGAAGGCCTTCTCCTGTGCCTTTAACATTTCCTTCTTCAAGCATGTCCAGCCTTCCTGGACTCCTTTGCCCTTCAGGACTGCCTCCCAAGGGACTCTGTCAACTAGGCTACTAAACAGGCCAAAGTTTGCCCTCCGGAAGTCCAAGGTGGCAGTTCTGCTGACCCCTGTCCTTATGTCTCCAAGAATCCAAAACTCTATCATTTTGTGATTGTTATGCCTGAGATGGCCTCCGACCATCACATCACCCACAGCTCCTTCTCTGTTTGCAAACAACAGGTCCAGTGGGGTGCCTGCCCTAGTTGGCTCACTCACCAGCTGTGTCAGGAAGTTATCTTCCACACACTCCAGGAACCTCCTAGGCTGTTTCCTCTCTGCTGTACTGTATTTCCAGCTGATGGCTGGTAAGTTGAAGTCCCCCACAACAACTAGGGCTAGTGATTGTGAGACTTCTCCCAGCTGCTTATAGAATATTTCATCTGCCTCTTCAATGTATGTCATTCCTGACACTTTTATCGCCCTAAAGCTCCTTTCTCTTATTATATCACTACGCTGGGATTGCACGGAACCCTCCTTACTTCATTTAATCATATAGCTTTGTAATCTGAGCATCATAGCAGCTGATGAACGTGTGCATGTTTCTCTCCCAAGGACACAGTGAACTTCAGAACTCAGTATAATACAGCTCTGAAGCAGAAGGCATGATTGTTGAACAGTCAGACATACAATACAGCTATACAATCTCACAGGGACTAGGACCACAAGGACCATATCTGGCTCTTTGCCAGTATTTAAACACAGAGATGACCTCCCATCCCACCTGGAGAATTCACGAGCCAACAAGGGCATCCAAAGAAACGGATGTCCAGCCTTGTCCCTGAAGCAGAGAAGGGTAATAGCAGAGTGTTCAGCAGATACTCAGCTGCTGTTTCACGATGGAGATAATACAATGTCTTTGCAAGTCAAAAGAGGAACAGCAGCACAGAAACAGCAGATAACTCAAAATACGAGATTTAACATGTGCCAGCTCAAGTCAACTTTCTAAGTCCTGCAGGAGCAAATACATCCTCAGAGATAGATGCTTTCAACCCATCACAGCATTCCTAGGTTTGTGTTCACATTGCTTTATGACAAGAATGGTTACAAACAATTATCTTCTAATAAAAGAGAAGAAATGAAAACAACCATAAACTTGAAGCCTCTTGTGTAACTACAATCCCCTAGGCACAGAACTTTTGCTTCAAAACAAGAAGATGCTATTTTAAGATTGTATTTTAACAAACCTGCGTGTTTTCATTTAATGCTTTGTCCTGTTGCCATGGTGACACAGAAGCAGGCATATGAAAGGTGATACAACCATGCTCAAAACTCAGTTCAGTGATATAGGTGATTTGGATCACAACTGTAGAATTTGGAGGTAAGTTTCCAACACTTATTACAAAAATATCCTAAAAAATAAAGAAACAAACCCCAAACCCACAAACCAGCTTTAATGACATCATTACATCATTAAAACCTATGTTTTCCAAAACAATAATTATTATTTAACTGGTGTTTAGGCACACTGAAACCAAATGCTAAGACAGAAACTACTATTTGGTTTTAGAATCATAGAATCGTTTAGGTTGGAGAAGACCTTTAAGATCATCCAGTCCAACCATTAACCTAACATTACCAAGTCCACACTAAACCAATTAAGGGTAGACTAGAATAAACCATGTCCCAAAGTGCCACATCTACCCGTTTTTTGAACGCTTCCAGGGATGGTGACTCCACCACCTCTCTGGGCAGCCTGTTCCAATGCTTGACTACCCTTTCCGTGAAGAAATTTTTCCTAATTTCCAATCTAAACCCCTCCGGCGCAGCTTGAGCCCATTTCCTCTTGTCCTACCGCTAGTTACTTGGGAGAAGAGACCAACACCCACCTCACTACAACCTCCTTTCAGGTAGTTGTAGAGAGCGATAAGGTCACCCCTCAGCCTCCTCTTCTCCAGACTAAACAACCCCAGTTCCCTTAGCTTCTCCTCATAAGGCCTGTGCTCCAGACCCTTCATCAGCTTTGTTGCCTTTCCCTTGGTGAAGTATAAGGAAAAATGGGACTATGATATGAAACATCAAACTTTCAATAATTCCTGAATTTCTGGCAAAAACTGACCAATAGTAACTGAATAAATCAACCTTTTACCAAAAAAAAAAAAAAAAAAAAAAAAAAAAAAGAAAAAAGAGGAAACCACCGGAAAGAGAAATAGCTGTTTTAGTGAAGCCACAGCACATAGCACATATTTAAAGAAACAATAGTTATTTTTAAAAATGGTCAAATGTATGGTCCAAATAAGTTCCAGTAAAAAGGAGTTTCCCAACAAAGACATGATTCAGCAAAGAATCTGTAGTTAGACAACTGCAAAAGCTTCAAGTAGGTGCTAAACCACAATATACAACATACTGGTGCATCCTGGTCCATTAAATAAGCTCCATCACCCTGACTGATAGCCTTCCAATATTCCCTATGTGCTTGCTTCTGTTCTTTAACCTATGAAGTGTTCCAAAATAAGTCATTTCATCTCTACAGACAGAAAACTTAACCGATAGTCTCTTAAATGACATGACCACCTTGAAATCCAGTCAGGTGGTAACAACAAAGGACGTGAGAGAAACCAAAATCAGTGTTGCACATCTTCATTACTAATTAAGTGCTTTCAGATCTTGAGATTGAGGGAGCTACATCAAAGACAAAGTACAATAACGTTTTACCTCTCCAATAACGTGTTTTCCATTGATAAAAGCTTCAAATCCACAAACAGCAGCTTTATCATCCTAAGGAAAGCCATATTTAGATTCAATTGGTTTACTGTTTTGATTGGTGTAGCTCTGAAACATTACTACCTGAAATCAATTTTTTGCATAATTGTAATGTTAAAATGTGCTTAAAACATCAATACTTTAAGTGTAACAGCATAACTGCCCTGCACCACAAAATGTCAACAGGCATGCCACAACTGGAACTTCTATTTGTACCTTGCAAATGAAGGTATAACATTCATCAGTGCTTCACAAATAGATATATCCAGAAACATGCAAGGAGCTGTAGAACTTTTAATCTCCAAATCATTAATCAAATCTCTTCCAGAAGAGGAGTAAACCCTGACCTTCTAAAGATTATCTGATATACTGGTAGAGCTGGAGCTCTGGCAAGAGCTCTGGTCAAGAAGTGACCACTGCAATATGTCTATAATAGTTTCAAGCCAGTAAGGACTAAACAAGAAAGAAGAGTAAACCTCCATAAAAAATTGGTCTATTTTTATGATACACTAAAAGGGATGTTTGGAAAAGCCTATGTTACTTCTGTATGTATAGTATCCATCTTCTAATGACAGGATTTCTGTCTCTGAGGTGGCAGATTATATCTGACTTTCTTCTCACATCTGCTCTTCTGTTTACTTCCGTGTGTCATAACAAAACTCTAGCAAATCCTCATTCCCCTTTGCTGCCATTCTTATTGTCCTTTGCCATCTGATCATTTCTGGTTTATGCTCTGTACCTCAGCCTGATAGACTGTTCTCTGCTTTGATGGACTGGGTCATAGAACAGATGCCACTGGATAGTAATTCATTCCATAGGATGATAAAAAACAAAAAAACCAAAACCAAACAACCCCCCCAACAATCCCTCATGAGAACAGTCGTTCAAAGGAATCAGACTGATCAGACAACAGTTGTGAGTGTCAGAATAGTTTAAGCACAGACTCATTTACAGACAATTCTCTCCTGTTTTCCCCTGCTTGCTTTTTTAAGGTTTTAGCAACAACATGTAAAAAACATTATTTACTTTTATGAAGCTGCTTTGGCACTGGAAACTCCTGAATACAGATTCTTGTGGAGAGACAAACATGTGACAAAACTCGGTAAAGCCATAGCTTTAGCATGATCCTGCTTCAGGCAGGATGCAGTTGAAGGGGGAGGAGATTGTGGAATTATGCCCCAGGACTGGAAAAGACCTGTGACTTGACAGAATGTGTTCTTAGGGCATATGTACTAAAAAACCAAGGTGAGCCCTTATTTTAGCCTGCTTAGCTAGCTAGCTAGCTAATTTTCAGGTTAGAACAGCAAGTTCTTTTGCACCGATTGTTATTTTACTTGTTACAGCTAATTTAGGTTGTCTAACCAAAGTCAAAACCAAAACACATTTCCATAAACCTTTAATCATCCCAGCTATTTCTCACTGGTTTATAATTCAGCTGGCAAACAGATTGCCAAGAAGGTCTTTCAAAGAGAACAGAATGCGCACGCTACTGCAGAAAGTTTCTCTAGAATGGTGACTCAATTATGCATAAGCAGAAAACAGACTTAAAATAAAGCCAAGCCTTTCACTGTCCACAGAGCTTTTGGCATTTGTTTGACTATACATCTCTAAGAATAAAAACTGTTTCCACTCAGTTTCAGGACTTTCCTTAATTTAGAGATTGAATTCCTCTTCCTCCTCCCCCCCCA